TATTTTTGTTATTATATATTAATATGAATTTATAGCATAATTTTTTTATACTGTCATCAAATCAAAATTCATCACCTACAATAAATTTATTAATTTTTATAAGAATTAATTACTTACTCATATTATGATTTGTGATTAATTGACTATATAAAACAATTTTTTATGTGTATTATTATTAAACTCAACAAATTATCTTCAATTGATAATTTTTATCTAATAAATATTAATTTCTTAATATAAATATCACGAGTCTAATACTATAATATAAATAGCAAATATATTAGTATTTTAGAAAATACTCTTATTAATTTTTTTTATAAAAGAAGTTTAGTATATTTTTTACTCTTAATTGCAATAAATATTTTAAAATGTATTAATTACTATCTTATTTTACTATGTAGTTTATGTTAATGAGACACTCACATATTTTTCTTGCATGTATTCAAATTAACAACAAATTATAATGTTTAATATTATTTTATCTATTTTCTAGAAAAAAATTATTTTATCTATTAATAAATGATATATATTTTTTTATATAATACTAGTTAAACGTCAAACATGAGACATTGAAAAGAATCTTTCTTATCATATATGTCAATTGTGAAGGCTAATTTTCAAAGGAAAAAAATTGTTCAATTCATTACTTAAGCGTTTGTTCCATGCATGACGACAAAAATCTTCTATGCGAGATAAAGAGCCTTTATTTAAAAATTGAACGATCAACAACTTGTGTTATAAGCTAACATAATAAGTAAAACTCATATTATACAAATACTTTGTGTTAGGCAGAGCATTGTCATACATGATCTATGATTGCTTCAAGAAGAACTTATCTATAAATATAATTGCCACGATTGGCCAAACTCTTTGAGAAAGAAGTTACCATGGCGATTGCAGATAATAGTAAAGTTGCAAGATAGAAAATTATATATTGGGAGAGAATCCAAGATGAAGGGAAGAAAGGGGGGTTGAAATTGCATAGGCTTACTGTTTTTATTGGACTCACAAGTTAATATGTACCATTTGAGTCCTTTTTAATTTAGAGTCAAGATTTCCTTGGAGCCCACACATCCTTCTATCAACCACTGTCGGCTGATTTTATAGTATTCTTAACCTTCACAGAACTAAAAGTAGCTATGGCCAACAAATATAAAGAAATTAAAAAACTATAAACAAGAGATTTTTTGTTTTCATTATTTTTCACGTATCCAAAACTTAAATGTATTGCAATTTGTCTTGTGGCAAGCCAAGCATAATTCTCTTGATTTTTTTAGAGTGCTTATTAAAGTACACCAAGAATAGAGTAGAAAGATGGGAGATAAGAAGAAAGGGCAAAAGGTAAATAGAGAAATTGAATAGATGTTATAAAAAAAATAAAGAGAGGAGAAACGAGAAAACGAGTTCAAAATGGGATGAAACACTGAAACAATAAGAAGTGGGCGAAATTTTATTATTATTATTATATTTTATCATTTATTTTTGAGTTTTTAATATTTTTTTATTCATTAATTTTATTTTAGCTTTTTTATGCATAAAAATCCAACTTGATATTAACAAATATTATTATAATTTTTTTATTATATACGATTTTTTATGCAGATTTTGTATAAAAAAATTTATGAAATTTTATTTTCAGGTAATATTTTGTGCATAATATGTTTTTGTAAATTTTAAAATTCACAATAAATTTTCTTATAAAACCTTTTGCGAATTTAAAATCTGAAAGTAATTTTGTACAATTTTTTTTTGCTGAATTTCTTATGAATTTTAAACTCACAAAAAACTCAAAAGAATTTCTTACAAAGCATCAAGAATATGAATATGCTTCTATACCTCCAACATGTGATTGATAATCTTTTGAAATTGATAATTTTTTGAAATCTTATAATGTAGATTATATATCTAATTCAATCTACAAATTAACTTTTAAGATGAATCTTTTCTCAATTTATATACTTTTTAATTATCTTATTTTTAATTGACACGGGTTTCAAGATTTTCTTTAAATATTAATTAGACCATATCCTTATAAGGAAAATTAATTCAATCATATTGAACTACAAAATTATATTATTATAAATTATATTAATTTTTAAAATATTCATTATTCTAAAAAATAGTTTTTTATTAAATAATTTTATTTTAAAAACTATCATTACATTAAAACTCATTATCATTAATTTATACATTTACTTAAAATAAATTTTTAATTTATTAA